TTTTCGTTGAATAGTTAGTTCATTAGAATTTTATAATGAATTAATTAGTGTAATTAAATAGCTAATTTGTTTAGTTAATTAGAATTTAATTAATTAATCGGTGTTAATTAATTACTGTAGTGTTTTCGCAAATTTTCATTTAATTTAAAAATGTGATATAATTTGTTTAAATACTTCATTTACTTCTTTTTATAACTGTTTTTTTTTATCGCTTTAATGGGATGGTTGCACCACCCACATATCTGCTGTAATTTAAATATTGTATATAAACTGTTGTAATTTATTACTTTAAATAATCTACCCCACCGGGTGAATAGTAACCCTGATGATGAATAGTACCTCCGGCGGTGAATAGTATCTTCGGCTATTTAATTTTGCTCGCTTTCTATAGCTTAATTTCAGCACTATTGTATGCTATTTAGGGGGCTGTTTAATTTATTTCAATGATTTATGTTTTAAATATCAAATTTGTTTGTACTAACCAATTAATCAATTTCGCATAATCATCTCTGCAACCTCCCTCCATTCTTTGCTTATTTCGATTAAAAAGTTGTGAAAAATTAAGATTGTGGTTCAAATATAAGAAAGGAAAACGCTCTATGTTTAATAGTTTAATCTCTTTGGAGATTCACTACCAAAGGCATAAAACGTTTTATACTTAGGAGGTTCATTACCAAAGGTATAAAATGCTCTATGCTTAATGGTTTAATCTCTTTGGAGATTCATTACCAACGGCATAAAACGTTTTATACTTAAAAGGTTCATTACCAAAAGTATACAACGTTCTATGCTTACTGATTTAATCTCTTAGGGGATTTACTACCAAAAGCATAAAACGTTCTATTCTTTGGGGGTTCACTACCCCAAATGTATACATGTTCTTATACTAAAGCACATTCTTTTATTTTTCATTTCTCTTTATTCATCAGTGTGTTTACTTTTAAGGGACTAATTGACCCTTGGAAATCACCAAGGAAAGTGTCATTATCACTTATTATCAAGTTTGGATTTCAAGTCATTATCACTCAAGTTTGGGTTTTTCTACGTCATTATCACTCTTTTGAGTTTGACTAGTCCTTGTTGCACATATTGAGTTTGACTTGGAATCCCTTATCGCTTGTAAATAAGTTTGACTCTTCCTTTGTAATTTCCCCCGAAGAAAATTTTCTCGGGTTAAGTTGATGCTTGTTTCTCTTTATTGCATTTTGGACTTAGTGGACGTAAATATGACTTTTGCACAAACAAGAGAAAAGATAAATAAATGGAAAGGTAATAAAAAAGGCTAATAAAATTGGTTAAAATTGGATTACAACTGACATAAAGAACCAATATGATTAATTGAATTCGGTCGGACGTTATACCGAGTTTATTGTGTCAAGGCTTGCCTTACATCAATTCTTGTAATAAATTTGACAGCTCCTTTCATTTATTATTCATTCGGTTTTGTAATAATTATTTATTCAGACATTTGGACATTCGGACCCTCCTGTGTGAGGGCGCATTAGTTTATTCGGACCCTCCTGCGCGGGGGCAAACAAATCTGTAATAATGTGTATGTCTTCCAACCCCACGTCTTTGTCCTTTTTATTTACCAGCTTATGATGGTTAGATTAGGGACATCATGTTTAATTTAGCATACTCATGTTTGCATCCACTTGTATTGCGTGCACTGAGGCTCGATTCATCATTCGAATTCACATTGTCGTTTCGATACTTCTCTGAATACATGCTTAGACCGCATGCGAGCAAATCATTTCACATGCCATATTAGTAGCCGAGCCTAGTAATTGCATATCACATGTGTTGCATTGTCACATTGTATAGTTAGGAATCATGCATATTTTCTAACTTTGTTTTGTAGCTTGTTCGCAGGACGTTGGTAAATATGTGAGTTGTTATGTTTCAGCATCCCGCCTGTACATAATTTTCTTATTATGTTTAGCATCCTACCATGAGGCTAATTGCTTAAATGATAAATTGTTTGAATGCCTGTGGATGAAGGCTTGTTGCTTAAATTGGAATGATTCAACGAATATATGTTTTAAGCCCACTTTGTTAAGTGTCAAATTAAGCCCACCTGAGGTGGCAAATTCAAACCCTTTTCGAGAAACAAACATGAAATTGAATTGTTCCAATTTGAGCAAACTAGTCTATACCTTGTATGCTTCACATAATAAATTTTAGGATTTATTAAATATTCAGAACAAACATATACTGTACATAAAAACCACATCATGATTAGTAGAGGCCGATCTTTGATCGGGTGAGTGGGGTGTTCAATTATTGACCTTCCCCTCTCATACCTAAGTTCCCGAACCAAGACACTTTGGTAACGATGAACTAATGGCCTTTGGCACAAGTCATGGGTTTCCTAAATTTTCCAAAATAAACATTTAGGTGGCGACTCTGATATCTGGCAAAGCAGTCCATTTTTGGGCATTTGATTTAAACATTGATTTTTCAAAAGAAATTGCCAGATTTGGACTCTTTTTTTGTTTTCACTGTTTCACATTGCACTTGTGAAATCAGAATCAGAACCAACACACAAGTGGAGTCCGAACTGTAAAGGCTATTTCATTCTTCCGAAAGGGAGCGCGAAAAGCTGAGCTACAGAGGTTACTCAAGCGATGTCACTTATTGTGTCTGACACTCGAGCGGGAGCAGTCTGCGCGTATATTAATCTGGAAAAAGGGCATTATGTGTCACTTTTTCATCTCTCTCTCTCTCTAAACATTTCAAAAACCCTAAATCTTCACACTCTCTCTCTCTCTCTCTAGTTCTTGCATTCAAGTTTCAAATACTCCCAATCCATTGATTTCCTAACCCTAGCCCTTTGGAGAAAATGGTAGAACACGTCAAGGGCTTTATTTCAATCGGAGGAGTTATCGTTTTAGGCTCCGCCAAACCTCAACTCTTGTTCTCCCTTGTCTTCTGGTTTGAGGTAGTGATTTCTTCAACCTTTGGCATGATTTTTACCTTAATGATTTGCCTATTGAAAAAGTCTAATGATTTGGGGGATTTGGGTTAAACCTAAGGTTTGGTTTTGAATTGAAAAGAAGGGTTTTCAAATAAGTTCTTGGTAAAGGTTGTGAGAATATTTTTACGATTGAGATATGTTAAAATGGTCGGTTTCGTTACTTAAAATTAATTTTTTAAGTAAAGAGGGTTTTGTTTTAAAATTATGGATATTTGGTTTGTGAAAGAAAATGGAAAATGATGTTGGGTTTGGTAAGAATGGAACAATGTTTATGTTGATAATGATAGTGGAGTTGGATATGTTATATCACTGCCATTTTGAAAATAAAGAGATTATATTTGTTGTTGAAAAATTATTTGTTGTATAAAAATATCTATTTTGGGCTATCAGTGGAGAATAACCTTGATTGTTGTAGAAATTGCACGAGGATTAGGTGAATTGAAACTAATCACTCATACACCCTGCATTGAGCATTGTTCGATACTTAAACATTGAAGATGTATTATTTTGAGAAAAAAATGGGTGAATACCTTGGTGAATTTGGTTAGGGGGTGTGGCTGTGGTTATGATGTTGGACTGTGTGTCCTTGGTGAAAGTCCAAAAACCCATGCGATTAGGTATCGATCCTTCCGGTTAGTATTGGCAAAATGGCTTTGGTAGTGCTTGTATAGCCTACTGGCAGACATGTACCTAGAGATTCCCAGTGTTTTGTATCCACTGTCTTGTTTCTATTATAAAAGGATTATTTTCATGAATTGATTTATAATCTGGCATTACATAGTTTGAGATGGAAATGAGAACTGTTTGACAAGTGACATGCATTTGCATTCACTTTATAGCTTTGTTAAGATTCATATATTGCGTTAACGTATATCTACTGAGCTTTGACTTACCCTATGTGGAAAATAACTTTCAGGTGCTAATAATATGCCTCCACCAAGGACATAGCTTGGAAGGACTTGGAGCCAAGGGCTTCCTTTTTGTTATTTGATGTAGTTATTTTGTACAAGTCTTGGGCTTTAATTGTATTGAGTTGAACTTGTTTTGATGTAACCAAGCATTGCCTTGGAAAGATGTAGCCATTAGGGTATATAATTACTTGGATTTTACTTTTCTTTTAATTCGTATGTCCATGTCATATGCTATAGATTCAGGATTTAGGATTTATGAATGAATACCGTATATGCCATCTTTTGTATCATCAAGTTCATAATTGGAATATAAAATATGATGTTATTGATCAATTATATGGAATGTTTTGAGATGGGCTATTGTTATTATGTCAGGGTGTTACACCTAGAATAGTTCCACATATGTCCATAAATGAACTAGTAGAAGCACATATATAATAGTGGTGACTAACAATAATTGAAAGCATGTAAATGTGAAACTAGTGCCCTTAAATAACCAAGGAGGTTCAAATATTTTTTTCATGGTGATGGAAACTAGTATTCCTAATGCCACTGACCATTTCTAGTAGCAAAACCCCAAAATTATAGACACCTAACTTATCTGAAAATAGCCCTTCCATTGCATATTCGGGGGACATGTAGTTGCTACATTTGATTGAAAATTGTTACATTTGTGCTTACTCAAAATTATAGGACTTCCAATATATCTACATAATTTAACTAATCCAAAAAAAATTTTTAAAATAAAGGATAAAAACTTATTTACTAAATCACTTATATTGCTTGAATATATATATATATATATATATTCTAATCCATATTCATTTCACTAAATCATAAACAAAAAAAATAAAAAAAAATAAAAAAATTATGTCCTAAGATGAAAACAACTTAGCCTTGTGTGTAACTCTAATCTCCATCCCAATCAAAGACATATTTTAAGCCCGTTGGCAAAGCCGTGAGCCTCTTGTGATCCCTACTCGTTCCTGTTTCCATTATACTTTTATTTGCAGTATTTCAGACACAAAATGTTCCACATTATACATAATTGCATTAGTAGGGAATATATTTAGCAAAGGTGAGCAAAATCTATTGAAGGAAAGAAAGGATCCTTACAATGTTCCCATCTCCCTTTGAATGTTTGCTAGTTCTTCTGTTACTCGGAAAGTTCGCCCTAACCCAAAGTTTGAAATTTTTGGACTCATGTCATCATCTAATAGAATATTGATGGCTCTCAAATCTCTATGGATAACCCTTAAACAAGAATCACAACAAAGATAAAGAAGACCTCTAGTAATACCCTGAATAATGTGGAAGCATTGAGCCCAATCAAGCTAGACCCTTTTCTTTGAATCTAACCAAAAACATGACAATTAAAAACATTTATTCATAAAGATCCGTCCTTTCTATACATTTTACCACCAATTAGGATAAGACAACAAGGATGAAAACTGGTTTTAAAATATCTTTCCTCAGTTCTAGACATAGTTGAAGTAATAGTATTGAATGCTATGAACAATTTAAAGGAAAAAGATAGGACTATAAACCAGCTGAAGAGAAAAGTGTCCAAGCTTTTGTTTGTCATGTACTCATAAACCAATAGCTTCTCTATCTCTTCCGCTTCAATGCAGCAACCCAAGAGCCTAACAAGATTCCTGTGCTGCAATTTGGAGATCAATATGATTTAATTCTTGAACTCTTCCACACCTTGTCTTGAATGATTTGATTCAAGTCTTTTCACTGCCACTTGCTGCCCATCTTCTAACTTTCCTTGTTAGTCCACAGTTCTTAGTCAAGTACACCAGATATATGTGAACAGTCCACAGTTCATATATTTAAGAATATAATTACCTTATAAACAGGTCCAAATCCTCCTTGCCCAAGTTTGTTTATTATGCTGAAGTAATCGGTAGCGACTAATATTTTATCAATGTCAATAATTGGTAGCTCTGAAGTGTCCAGTGAATCAACCATTTCAAAGTCCTTTCTTATGTTTTCTCCCTTTACTGATGTCCAAAAACTGAACCATAGAACAGAAAATTATTAAGATTTCTGAAATTTGAAACTTGCTAAAAATAATCAAAGTTGCTTCGCTTGTAGAGCAAAAAACAAACCTTATATATGACTTAGCAATAGCTGATGATAAGTGAATTTTTATGGCAGTTATCACTGGCTTTAAAATAATAATTTTTGCAGTTTATTAAACTTGGAGATTCTTTTAATTAATCTGAATATTAAGAGTACAGAATTGTTGTACTCACTACAATAATTTACACTTTTGGTGACCAAATTTGGTGACAAAAAGGTTTTTTGTTGCCAAAAATGTCACTTTTGGCAACAAAAAAATATATTAGTCGGTGTTGGTTCAGGGTATAGCTACTAAAAAATTTTAGTCAAGAAATATTACTTATTGGTGACTAAACTTAATTTCAGTCGGCAAAAATTCCAGTTTTAGCAACTAAAAAGTATATTAGTCGCCGTTAATCTAGATTTTAGGCTATTAATTTTTTTTCGTCATCATGTATTATTTTTTGCCAACAAAACAACAAGCACATTTTTATGGTTACTCTTTGGCGACCAAAAAATTTTGTCGACAAATATTAAGTTAATTTTTTTGACCAAAATAAAAATTAGTCACCAAATTAAACTTTTGGTGACTAATATTTTAGTCACCGCTGATTTAGATTTGGATTCAAAATAATTTAGTTGGCATATATATTCATTTGCCGACAAATACTGAAATTAGTTGCTAAAGGTTGAAATTTTTTAGAGCGCGAAGTAATTTATTGCTGCCCACCCCTTTCTCTGTTAGACAAAATAACTTCAAACCTTTCACACACAGACTTTCCTTCACCAAACCTCACAGAAAATCACCTCACCATAGCCCATCGTATGGAGGACATCGCCACGGCCACCACCACAGCCACCGGGTGTAAATCACCATCGCCACAGTCGTAAATCACAGGCTCTCTCTCTCTCTCTCTCTCTCTCTCTCTCTCGCTTGCTCTCGGTCTGTCTGTGTGTCTCTCTCTCTCGCTCACAGTCGTTATCTGTCTATCTCTCTATGTCAATCTCTTTCTCCCTTCCTTTGGTTCCCCCTTTCCTGATTGTTGCTTTAGGGTTTTATATGCTTGATTCAGTTCTAGATAGCATGGATACGATACGATACGGATACGGCGATACAACAAAACCTAAAAAAGTAGGCTACGGGTACAACTAGGATACGTTTGTAAAAAATAAAAAATAAATAAACTATTAGCAGTTAGTTACACATAAGCTCAAGAATGTTGAGAAACCACAGTAACTTTATATTGCAAAATGCTAATCTTTAAGAATTAGGTATTAATTTAAGCCAATAGGTAGTTTAGTTTTTAAATTTCCAATAGGTCTTGCAAATATTTCATTTTAATATCAAGTCTAATTTGTTGATGTTGTAATATCAAAACAATTCACAACTTGACCCTATGCTTTTTCCTTTTGCACTAGTCAAAAATATTCTATGCAAGTTTATTTGCATATTTATTTATTGATATTTAATTTTATTATTAATCCTTACTTCTATTTAGTTATAGGGGATATGCATGATACAATGAAGATATGTCAATTTGATGAATTCTATTACTTTAGCTTACTATGTTATTTTTATAAAAAAAAATTAAGCAAAATATTGTAAAAATATTCTATTTATCCTCGCAATTATATTATATTATGATGTTATGCAAGAAATGATACAATTCTAGTTTCATAAAATGAGTAATATGTGACTTGGAGCATTTGATACTTCAAAATTAATTAAGAAGTATCCGATAATATGTTACTTGGAGCATCCGATACTTCAAAACTAAGCATCTGATACTTTAAAATTAATGAAAAATTAATTAAGATGTATCTGTAAGTATCCAAGGAGTATCGGTATCCGATACGGATACGATACAGATACGTCTTCCTATTTGAAGTATTTGTGCTTCATAGATTCAGCTGAATTTCATGTTGATTTCTGAAATGGGCTTGGTTGCTGTAGATTGATTTCTGAACTTCTATGGGTTTGATGTCCTAAATATGGGCATGAGATACATTTCCCCTCTTTTTCCTTACTCTTTCATTAGTTTATTGAACAAATCCAACCACACATAACAAGTCCAACCTGCCACACCCAAACCACTGCCACCACCAAACCTCTGCTCCTTCCACATAGAAATTTCTTTAGGTGTATGACTAATAAGTAACTATCAAAGATATATATTTCTTCAAAGGCCATAAAGGGGTTGTCACTAGTATCATTTAGAAAAGTTCAGTTCTATGATTTTCACATAATTTTTTTGGCAACTAATTTGACTTGATATATCCCTATTTTATTATTTGTGATCCAGTGTGATACTTCTACTTCCAGATTTTGACTGTATTTAATGTACAGTGAGAAGTTCACAATTTGTAAGAGTGCATTTTCATATCCAATAATTTGTTGGAAATATTATTTCATCTTAATATCATTTTGTTCCTCCCTTCGGTTTGTTTTTTTTTTTTTTTTTTTTTGTGTTAACATCCCTCCCTCTCTCCTTCAACACGCTTTGTCTATCTTGCAAACTAAGGCAGAAACAGAGATCAGCAAAGCACATAAACTTATCATGGAAAAAGATGCATAATTACATGCTGCAGAAGAAAGCCTTTCTGGATTGGAGGAGGTGCCACCTATACTCTTCTACTTGTAACTTTTCATGTTTTTGTTAACTGTTTTGTATTTACAAGCATTTGTCATTTGTTATATTGTTTTAGATGGTGCATGGCAATCTTCAATTATATTTATCTGTTTTCTGTATTACATTTTGGCATATCCATGAAGCAGTTCTTTGATTTGTTTTTGGGTCCCTCAGTGTGTTGTAACTATGGTGATTATGTTGAAAAAATCAACAGGTGAGACACAACAGGTGGGAAATTTTGACATTAAGTTCTTGCAATCTACGGGACCATTTGTATAAATTGGTACATTTATTTGAAAATTAAAATAAATTTATAGGTTGATATATTTAATTTTGTTGGCTATATTACATGGGGGATATCTTTTTCCTTTCCTGCACTGTTATTATGTGGGTGAGGTTGTATTATTCAATTTGATAAAGCCTCAATTCCAAGTCCATGGGGCTACAGAATCATCTTCTTCCATTCAGCTCTGTTTAGAGCCATGTCTCTCTGATACATTGTAGGCAATTATTTTCCTTTCTCCTTTACCATTTTATGTTCTCTTGTGTAATGGGTATACCATTGTTTGTTCTCTAATTTACATATTTAATTCTTCATCGTGGTATTTTTTTTCTTCAAGTTTATCAGACATGCACCAGTAGTTTGATAGCTTGATGAAGTCAATGATATCAAAATTTAGTTATAATTTTTTCAGCTTTTACTTTTTATCAGTGTCTTTTTAATTTGCTTATTTTTTATTGTTTCAAAGTTGATGGAATCTCAGTCACCACAAGTTACCTGTGGAAATCCTTGTTGACTGTCTTGTATTCTTTTATTGTATATTGAATTTCCTTGTTGATGTCAATATGAATTACACTTTTCTTCTCCAAACATATTTATTCTGGTCTATGACTTTGTAGGATCCATCAGATCCATGAGTCCACGTGGTAAATTTTACAATGAGATCCAATCTGTACCATCAGATGTTGTCACTTGGTAAGAATTTGCTTTTTGGTTTTCTACATTGATGTGGTGTGTTTTTAATGCTGCTTATGATATATATGGTTTTTTTAATCTAACATATTGATGTATTTTGAAAGAGCCATGCTTATAAACAATTGACAACCATTTTGATAAGATAGCACCTGCAATATTCATATAAATCACTACTGCCTTTTGAGGCAGTGTGTTAAAGAGTTTGTCTATTTGACTTGATTAGAGAAGTCTCATACACAAATCCTGACGCTAGCAATCTATTGACCTCTTTGCCATTGCTTTATTTATGTTGCTCAAGGTGAAGAGCAATGGCAGAAACATATGTTGAAAATGATTCTTGTCATGGAAAATAGTTTCCACAATTAGCCTTTTCTTGTATGATTTACCTAACGAGGACCTGGTTCAATTTTAGAAAGATTATATGAGATTGCAAACATCATTTTCCAAGCTATGATATTTGTCCCATTACTCCTGCAACTCTTGGTTATAGCATGGGCAGGGTGCCTTGGAGGCTCCATAAGCTAGTGCATGCTTGTGTGCCTATGTGTGCACATTCACATGCACATGGATATGTGTACTAGATATTAGGTATCATGTCTGCCCAACTGACATTATACATGTTCTCTTAACATAATTTTTGGAGTTTCAATCATAGTGTCTCATAGGTGCGCTATATTGGTTTAGACATGAATTGATGACGGTCATGTGGAATGTATGTATATTATGTATGATTCTGCTTGTGCTTGTAAAGTATGTACTAGTGCCTAACATCTACTTTTTCCAATGTTGTTGTGTGTTCTGTTAGAGCTCCAGTTTATGAGTAGGGCTTCAGATTTATTTTTCTGTGCAAAAACAAGCCCATTCTTTGAAAACTTGTAATAATGCATACATTTCTTAACTAGCCCGATGGTATTATGCAATTAACATGTCTTCCAACTTTGAAGGCAATAAATTTTATTGCTTTACATTAAGCATCAAAGGAATGATGATACAAAGTGTCCTTTTGATAATGTCTCTCCAACTTGTTTGAATCGACAAAAAATTTTCTCCCCCAACAATTGGGATGATGATTGTGGTTATAAATCCCCATGAATGTCTTAGATCTATAGATTCTACTAGTTATTTAAAATTTTAATTTACATGATGGCATCACACATGGTAGATCAATCATCTGTTTTTGAAATGAAAAACATTCCAACATTCTTTGACAAAGTTCACAATAAACACTACCTATTATTCTAGACAGAAAATGAGTTTAGATGGCTCTTTCAAGTTCCAAATCCGATAGCACAATCGGGCTT